ATACAAGATTAATGTGGCGTTATAATAACGTAACATGACTTAATAGTTATAAAGCATTACATTAATAAAAAAAAAAAAAAGGAACATTACTACAATTATCAAAAATTTATTGAATAGTTTAAAAAATTAACACGAAAAAGTTTATTACTATTTTTTTTCATTATTATTATTACATTATTTATATCAATAGTACAATCCTTTCATACTAAATTTCCACTTTAATAGATATCTTACTTAGTACTGTACTAACACTTCGAATATTTCTACGATGATAGAGTCCAACATCAGTAAAGTTTATCGAATCTATTATACGAAAATTGTCAGGATCAAATATACAACCTTACGTGTATGTCATTATTCAAAATTTCAAATTGACAAAATTTATCAAGGTAACTATTGATTTTTCATTCATAAAAGTTCTGAATCTCTTGAACCATTGTTTCATCTCTCATTTGTTTTAAAAAAGGAATTAAATTAGTCCCACCAGTACCTTTAATTTCAATGGATTTGGTGGTAGTGATTTTTACTTTCGTATTGGCTTCTTTGTTATTTGTAATAACATTGTTAGTAGCTATTCGAAATACTTCATTCTTTGCTATATCTATTCCTGTTACAAATATTAATGAGTGGTTGAAATTTGTAATTATAATAAGTATTGTTAGAGTATTGTTAGTAAAGATTGGTAAATGCCGCGGCTGATGTTGAAAATTGAACCTATTTTAAAATTTAATTTTTTGATAATAAATATAATAGGTTTAATAGAGTTAAATAGAGACTCCAAATCTCAACATTAGCCGCTATAAAAACATTTGAATTGGTATAATGATTTCATATTACCTTTATTTATTGGTGTATGATATTTGGACTCACCTTTACTTCGATGTGCCTGTATTATAATATATGCACTAACAATCTGTAAGTGTTTGCTTCGGAAAATCTTCATTTGATTTAAACATTCATTATACGCTCGAACCATTTCGGTGGTTCCCTGAAGCATTCCCATGTCTTCATCAGGTGAAGAGATGGTGATACTAGATTCATAATTCGTCTGTGAAACGATATAACTGCGGATGTTAGCGACCTTTGCAAGATCTTCAAGAAATTTCCTGTGACCCCTGGTCATATTTTGGCGAATTTGATATAAATAAGGCAGTTTATTTTCGCCAGACGAACATTGTTGTGGTTTATTATTATTACTATTATTATTATTATTATTATTATTATTATTATTATTATTATTATTATTATTATTATTATTATTATTATTAT